CGAAATTTTCTGCTTTTACTAAACGTTTTTGAAAATCCACAAAAAGACCAAAACGTTTTGAAACTACCAAAAAAAGAGCAAAACCTTTTGAAAACCTAAAAACAGCTTTGCACGTTTTTCGCTTTACACTCTTTTGTGTATTGCTATGCATTTATGCTGCTTTTTCGTTTTGCTTTCCATATACACCGTCGGTTGGTTGCACCTCGGTTTCACTTTCGCTGGATCTCCGCCCGTCAACTGGAAGTTCAACAATCTTCCTGTTCAACCGCCTACGTGAACTTTACTAACTGTCCCTCCACAAACAGTTTTTTTTTACCGTTTCGACACCGTAGGGAGGACACGGGTGGGAGCCCGCTAGGGTCCGATTGCATGGTTCTCCCCCAGCAGCTGCATCGGGTTTCACAACCTGGTCTCGCAGAAGGCTGGCCGGCGACGGACAGTCCTCACGTAGATCGAAGGACTGCTTACACAGTCCCTTCTGGGAGAGGGCTATGTAGCAGTCTGGAGATTCCCCGGTTTGCTTGTGTAAAATTCTAACCAAAATTCTATAATTGTACACTTAGGCAACCGGTGTGGTTTGTTGAACTGATTGCTGAGTTCGAATGCTTTACTTGCTCATCGCCATTTTTGCTTGGCGCTCGCTTCGATTGCAACGCGCGACTGCTCTGTGTGCTGTGCTTGATCTGTTCCCCTAGCTAGAGCGTCCACGGTGTCGTTCATTTATAGCTAGCTAACAGGGAATCTTTTGCTGAACCAATAAAAGTTTCCCTGCAACTCGATCCGTCTTCTCGAATCGCTCTCTGGGCTCCCGGAATAGGCAACCCTCTAAACTTCAGGGCCCTGGTTCGCAGTACCTCGTAAACGACTTCATTGTCCAAGTACTTATTGGTCGAATTTTACTTTGAATGCTAGGCTTCAATGAACTCACGTGCTTGCCGACTTTTAGCACCTCCGAGGATACTGACGTGCTCTAGGTCGAATTGATGGTTCTCGGCATCTATGTGCACCGACATCAGGGAGTTCTGATCGTGGCGACGAATGGCTAAACTGTGTTCTTGTAACCTTGTGCCAACCTTTCTTCCAGTCTGTCCCACGTAGTATTTGTCACAGTTCGGGCAGCAGATCTTATTAATCACACCAGTTTCTTCCTCTTTGCTAAGTTTATCTTTCACTTTGAAGACTTTACTGTGAATTGTTTCTGTTTGCTGGTGTGCAACTTTGATTTCAAAAGGCAATAAAAGCCTCGCTGCCATTTCAGAGATTCCGTTGATATAGGGCAGAGTTGCTCTCTTTACAGCTGTTGCACTTGTCGATGTGTGTTGAGCAGTCTTTTGTGGTGCGTGTCAGCGCAGAATGAAGCCTTTTGGGTAGGAGTTCCGCTTAAGCAGATTAAGGAGATGGTCTTCTTCTGCCCCTCCCAGCCGCAGTATACTACAATGGGTTTGTGTTCATTTGAAATGGTTTCGCACGCAGCTGCGTTTGTGGTCTGCCGGTTGATTGCTGCCGTAGTTGAGGATCTGGTCCGTATGCGTAGATTTTCGGCAGAGTATTGTTTTCAATCGTTCAGCATCGGTCCGTCGTATGAGAACGTATAAGGATGGTAACTGCTCGTTGTTTTTCTCTTCCCTGGTGAATTGGATGCCATCGAACACATTGTTGATTAGTTCGTGTGTTTCCTCCAATTTGGTACGTTGGCGGATGACGAAGATGTCGTCTACGTATAGGATCCAAAGTTTTGGTCTCGCGATCGGAAGTGCTATTTGTTCCAGCGCCAGCGTCACTACATCGGCTACCAGACCAGCGATCGGCGATCCCATTAGCCTGCTTCTTATCTATTCGTAAATTGGGCCATTGAAAGGGAACTTTGTTGTTATACAGAATTCCAATAACTCCATCATCTGTTTGACGTCGAGTTTACTGCTTGTATCAGACGACGTGTGCTCCTTTAGTAGGCTCGTCATTGTTTCGCCAATCGAATGTCAATTGTCGTGAACAGGGCAGTAACATCAAAAGAGACCATTATTTCCTCTCGTTCAATGGTTTCCGTTTTAATTTTCCCAAGGAACTGTTCTGCCGAGTTGATCGAGTATTTCGATCCCGCAATTAGGTGTTTTAGCCGTCACCAAAGCTCCTTTGCAAACCTGTAATTGGGTGCTCCAAGTAATGATACGATGGGGCGAAGCGGCACTCCGTTTTTGTGTACTTTAGGTACGCCATAGAACCACGGTAGTATCGAATCTTGTGGTCGCATCATCTTGTGTTCCAATTTTGTGCTTTTCCCTATTTGTTCCAGTTTTTGCAGAGTGCGTCTGATGTTGCCTTCTAAGCGTTTTATCTGGTTTTCGTTTATCGGCTGGTGTGTTGTTATTACTGAGTTGATGTGTTTTCATCATGTAATCAGATTTATCCATTTTAACAGTAAGGTCTTTATCGGCCAGCAGTATAACTATACTCTTGTCTTTCTTGAGGTTCTGCAGAGCTTTCAGTTCAGCGGTCTTGAATATGTTGGTTTCGACTTTAGAACTGAGAGCCAGGATGCTTTTATGTCTGGACTATCGTTGTACTTCAAGCGGGATGTTGTACGATCTTAGCGTTGATCCAAATGCAGCGAGGAAGTCGATGAGATTGGAGTCCTTAACATTGAGTTGTGTACCTCGGACAATGACTGCTTTTTCCGCCTCCGTTAACTTTCTTCTGGATATGTTTGCAATCCGAGCATCGTCTTCCTTAGGCGGTTTCTTTTGCGATATCGCATTCAGCTTCTTTTCAAGCCTCCCTTTGGTGCTTAACTTTGTTTTGGTGGTTTTTGACGGCTATCGCCTTTTCAACTCTTCAGTCAATTGTGATCCTAGCCTGGATAAGCAAATTGCCTTCTGTTCGTTAATCACCATTTGATATCTATGCTTTTGACTGTGTGCATCTGTACTCAACAGGCGCAACCTTCTTCGCCCATGTTGTTCCGTTATCTACCAAGCCAAAGGATGGTTGCTCGGAGGACGGTAGTGCAAACTCGGCGGTAAAAAGTGCCTTCGCAAGCATTTTTGGAGGAACTAGAGCTGCTCCTCAGTGGGTGATTGCCGACTGACAAATATCCCATCGATGAGCAGATTTTCACAGTCCACGGTAAATAACGTCGAATTGTGAGTTAGACCGAGCATTTTAAACGATAGTTTAACTGCTTAGCAACACTGGCGAGTATTCACGCGGGAATCCCAAGTGTTGCCTGGTGTGTAGTTGCCTCATCACTATTTAAAGTAACAGTTGCTTACGAGCTTACTCTCTTAAAGCGCTACAAAGCCTCTAGCCTAGACAACTCCACTCCAGCTCTTTTCGAAGATGGAGATCCATCAATTGTTCAGGAGTTAGCTTTCCTCTTCCAAGAATTTTCTATCACCTAGGCATTCCCGTTTGATTAGAACCTATCAGATATCGTGCTGATCTTCCTAAATGATCCTCGGAGAAACTGCGCTAACCACTGGGAGATTAATCTCATCCGTTTTGTATCCAAACTGTTCAATCTAGTACACGAACAGATTCTACATAAAGAACAATCTGGGTTACGCTCTTGCCCGAGTATTCTCGATCACATCTTTACGCCTTGCCAAATGCTCAAGTGTCGCTAAATATTCTGCCAACCAACGATCGCTGCATACCTAGACATATGAGCCGTGTTTAAATCCGTTTACCGAACTGCTCCCTGGAGTCGTCTTTTAAGAAGGAGAGTGCCCGAGAAGTACGGCAACTTTCTTAAAGCAGTCTATTACTTAACATCCGGCCGACTACTGATGTACACTGAACTCCTACCCCTCTCTATTATCACCAGTGGCGTGAGACGGCTGCGCAGCCTCACCCTTCCTCTTCACTTTCGCTGTGGGCAGCATCTTGGGGAGCGCTCTAGAGAACTATCAACCTAGCGGTATTGAGCTGCTTCTAGGGAACCGTACACGCGGACTTGTTTGATCCTCTGAACGGGCGACAGTATCTTATTGGTGTTGATTTCTTCAGCGAAAGGTCTGAAGTATTCTGCATGGAGCGTACAACAAGGACCGCACCAGTTAGCATACTGAGCTGAATTTTTGCTCAGCATGGGATATCGAGACTCAAGTCACTGACAATAGCTCTCACTTCTTCAAGTTTTGTGAAAAACTGTACTCAGAACGATATCACACACCTACGCTCGCCGCCGCTCCACCTCAGTCCAATGGGTAAATGGAGCGGTTTGTCGACACGATTAAACGGACGCTGCTGAAAATAAGGGGGGGGGTCATAAAGAGATACTAGATGTTTTCTACTCTACAGACCAACTCCGAACCCTATATGTCAAATCCTTTGTCCACAGCAAAAGTGCTAGTGGATAGAAAACTCCGTACTCTTAATTCATTGTTGCTCGCGACAGATGAGCGCGAGAATGGAGAAATACTGCAGTCAGGGACACAGAACGCAAGTGCGTCTATTTCACTCAGGACAGAGTGTTTTAGTAAGAGACTATCGCCCTGGAAGACCACAATGTACGGCAGGCTCGATGAAGTACAGCGTTGGACAAGTACTGTATAAAGCTCTAGTGGGAACCATGATTTGGACCAGGCACGCAAACCATTTGCAGTCAACCAGCTTTCATATAAGTACCAATGAAAGATCGCTACCACTGGACAATCTCAACATACAACCTGGTGCTCAGAGATGATCGAATCAACCTTGTGCACTGCCCACAAACGGAACGAACTTGCAGCTACAACGATAAACTGGTCGGAATCGGAAGTCTGTGGCAAAAATGCAGCTGGATCCTAGAGGAAAGTCGCGTGCCATTTTTCATGGGAAAGGTGTTGAGGGAAACTCGCTATAGCAATCCTCGGGGCTGCTCCTATAGCTAACAGCCCGGAGAAGATTGGCATGCTGAGACAGATTGGCCAGTCAATGCTGTCGTTTTACCTTGAAGTCCACCAATGAGAATAACCTACCTTGAAGCGCAATACTTAAGTAGCTAACAGGCGAGTTTTCACACATCCAGTAGCTGCAAGCGTCCATTAACTTTCAACCAGGTCATTGTTTCATGAACTATTTATTTTAACCCCATCTTTTATCTGTACATATTGTCTCCGACTGTTCCATGGAATTTTGACAGATACCTTAGTCTTCTAATTTGGAAAGTGGCCGGACCGTGTCCCGGGTAGCTGTATCGGTTGTCTGTACTGTTAACGGAAACCACAGTTAAATAACCGTGTTGGCATGACCGGGAGCCGACCCCAGTGGCATGTGTTGCGATTTCCTTTAACCCTCCCCATCTCTCTTAACACACCACTCCAACCACGATTTTGCCGCTAGTGCATAGCATATAGGACAATGGATAATAATATTTATTGTGGTTTTTCTCTCATGAAAGCTAATTGTGTTGTGCTCAGCAGCTGTGGTCTTTCTCATTTCGGTTTTAAATGCATAAAGGAATTCTGGATGATGCTGTAACAGACTTAGTAAAAACAGCGAAATGTTCATTAAAATCATTAAAATCACATCGTTTCCACACTGTTGTGCACCTCCATGTGACCCAGCCACTTGGATGTCGAGGTTACGGCTAAGATCCGAAAGGTTTCGGGTTCGAATGCTTACTATCTCTACCTTATGCGATCAAAAAAGGTCGTAACGCATTATGTTTCGGCTGCGATCGCAATGATCGATTCACTTCAATGCGAATCGTGGTCCACATTGAGATTGCGTTACGAAATTCATTCACACTACGAGCGCTCTAAAATAACTTCAATCATTTCGTTATGTACATTCTTCACTCATGATCAAGTGGTCTTTTCGTAGTCGTAATGGCGCCTTAACGGCATTTCGCTGCAGCGCGACCACCGTAAGTCGCGCCTTGACTGAGTTTACCGCGGGGACTTCCGCCCCTACGCGGATTCGTACCGGTGACCTAAGGATTGCAAACCAGGGGCGCAGACCACACGGCCATCGGCCACCTAAGAGATTTATGCTGTACCGCTTTTTCTAGACATTTATCAGCTATGGATAGGAATTGAAGTTAACTTCATTGTACTGAACTCTAAGATTTGCACAAACAAGGACGTGGTTGGCGTCCAAGTTCGTGCTCCAAATCGAGCGATAATTTTGGAGGCACCCTCTTCAGCGGTAACTGATCGTGATGCTATCGATTTGCGCCATGTTACTGTCTGCCGGGTACCGTGTCGGAAGTTAGTGCTCTCGAGAAATAGGCCACCATCTTCGCACAAGGGTGGTAAACGCTCACCGTTATGGTTACGGGAGCCTACACCGTATTGACCCCCCAGATGTTATGTTCCTTTCTGCCTCCCCATCCCGCTTGTCTCCCACCACCAACCACGATCCCAACCTCGAAGCATAACATATTAGTAGACATTATACTGCCTCTTGTTTTTTGGTATTCCAAGTTTTGTATCTCATATTTTTCATATATCTTATCCTTTGAAGTGTGTTGCTCACCTTTAGCTAATGTGTAAGGATGATGATGATGGCTGAGGGTGTACAAACATTCTTTTGTTTTTCGTTTTCAGCATGCTGCTCTTTTTATCACTTCTGGGATTGGCGACATGCTCACAATTCAGGGGATTTACTTGGATGCGGTCATTATCGAAACCCCCAGCCGTGAGCAGCTACGAATATGAAGTGAAGTACATTGATGTCTTGGTAATTGATTGCACATAACCAGTAATTTGATGGCGTAGCTGGACCATTTCACCTTTGTAGATGGCCGCACGTTCCAGATGAAGTACCTCATTTCCAAAAAATTCCACGTTGCTAATGGACCGATATTCTTTTATGCTGGAAACGAGGGCGCAATTGAAACGTTCGCCGAAAATTCGGTAGGTTAGCCAATATTCCCCCTTATTTTTCTTATAGGGCTTTATTTGGGAGAAATCAGAAGACCTGAAGGCTGCCGTTGTTTTCGCTGAGCATAGGTTTTATGGGAGTTCCTTACCTTTCGGAAATGACTCATTCAAAGTAAGTGTTGTTAACCGGGGCCAGTTTTTACTAATCCAGCCAATTTTGGTTTAGTCCCTCCTATCATTAGTTTAATTACTTTCACTGTCTTGTTTCATTTGGAGCTGTTATCCTGGCAATTTTATATTAGTAAACAGTACTATATCTTGCATTAATCACTTATGTGGCGCATTCCGGTGTGCCGGCCATCGATTATGGCCTTTTGTGGCCATATACATTCCAAGTCCATTTTTCATTTGCTCAACTACTATTCCGAGCATCGATGTTTGATAGACGTGCCTTCTATAGCTAGCATCATGTTGATTAAATGGTTAATCGCATCGGAGGGGAGTAAGTGAAAAATCGCAGCCAAACGTGTAGTGAAGCTACCAAAAGAGATGGTAGAAACCTGCTCTCTGAATAAATGGTTGATGTGTAAAAATAATAGTTTGGCTACAATTACGCCATTGACTTCTCATCTTCGTCATACAGAACTTTTTGGATGCTCTCCGACGTTCTCTGGCTGCAATCGAGTACAATGAGGCTCTGGCTACTACTGCCTGCAATCCTGAAAAGCGATCTTGAAGCCTGGTCTGAGATGGAAATAATCGCTTCCCCTGGTAACCTTCATAACTTACTCCGTCTGATACTGGAAAGGTGCAACAGGAGACCTGGTATTTGCGAGACCATAGGCGATGAGCGTGTACAGCCGATCCGTAGCTTGTCAAAACGCTTGAGGCGTTGGGCCGAACACTTCCCTAAGCAGTTTCATCCATCTGTTATCACCTTTTTCTGACATTGTTTGCCCTACTCCCTTGTCCGTCCTCTTGGTTCCACTCTCGCGCAGAAATCGAACGTGAGATCAGACTGTTAAAGTTGAACAAGACTGTAGTAGCAAATGGACTTCATCCAGCCCTTTTCAACTTCGGAGGACCAGCTCTCATGGGTGATTCGGGCAACTTACTAGTGGATCTGTGAGAACAGGGGACTATCCCAACTGGCTGGAGCCGCTCCGTTATAGTCCCATTTATCAAGCGAGGCTCGTGTTTCTTATCCGGCAGGTAAAGAGGATTCAGTCTGATCTTCATTTCCTCTGTGGTCCTCCATAGACTGACTGGCACCCGTAAAAGCCAGATACGCGAGGAGCAATCTGGGTTTCGTCGAAATTGTGGATGCATTGATCGCATCTTTACGCCAATTGGAACACCACCGGATTCATTGGCGGTTCACCGTAAATCGTTTGTCTGGACATCGAAGATGCCTTCGTTTCTGTGGATCGATGTGCACTTTGGGACTGTCTGCTCAACAAAAGTGTATCCAATAAATATGGAAACGACATTGCGCTGTTTGCGCATAGTTCGTGCAGAGTAAGGGTTTATAACAAACTGTCTCGACCTTTAATATCTTCAGTGGAGTGGGACGAATGCCCGCCGTTATCTTTCCTTTTTAACCGCCATTGACGAGGTCATGGGAGCGGCGTTCGCTAAACAAGGCTTAGGTGTAAAGCTACTTCCTAGTGAACGACTTCTTGACTTGGATTATGCCAACGATATTACTCTAATCTGTGATAGTTCCCAATCACACGAGGCTGAAGGTAACAGATTAACACTGGCTGTCTATCATTTTTGGGTTTCTGCACCCTCGGAATGCAAAGTCCTTATCCAAGATTGGCAGGGACCCCTGATCTGACCGTTGGTAATGATCAGGTCGAAGACGTCCAGCAATTTAAGTATCCAGGCAGATGTATTAGCATCTGTGAAATATTAGATGATGTCACGAACCGTACAGCGAAAATTCGGGACGCTTTTGCCAGTTGCCGCCACCTGTGACGCTGGCGCAACATCGTTCACGTCCTGAGGGGCAGCGTTTACAGAGTAGCCGTCCGCTCTGCAGTTCTGTACCATTGTGAAACCGGGCGCATTAGATCTGAAGACTTAAGGTGGCTAGTTCCGTTCGATCATTGATGCTTTCCCAACTGGGTTCATGTCCGAAAGGAGCACCACGTGTGCAATGAACGTGTTTGGCGTAGAGTATTTGGTGCAGGAAGAGCGAATGAACCGCTCAGCACGGCTATTTCACGAAACACTCTCCGATGGCTGGACCACGTGTTGCGCATGCTAGCCCATCGACTCCCGCGTCGTGTGTTGTTTGTGCGCCGGCGATGTGGGTGGAAGAAGAGGAGAGGAGGTCAACCGATGATTTGGTCAAGTGAAATGAAGACCGTCACTTCGAAGTTGGTCTCCCGACTGCCGGGCTGGGGTCCGAAGAGCGTTGAACGCGTTTGGACAGGTACAATGTTTGACATGGCGAAGAGTCGATCTCAATGGCGTTTGTGTTGTGTTTCTTTGTCCCTCCTCCTCCTCTTTAGTTTCCCTAGCAACAGCGGTCTCATGCACATTGCATGATATGCTATTTAGCTTTGTATTACTAGTATTTTTGGTTTTTGTAGTCTGCAATGTTCCATATATTATCTTTGTTTTGTGGCGCAATAGTTGAAGTGTGTTTCTCACTCTCAGCTAACGTGTATTGTTAATGTGTTCGTCATATATGAACACCCAAACTTGTTGTTATAATTGATCCCGATGCCCCCACCAAAGAAAACGATATGGCTATGCTTGCCAAGGCACTTGGTCATTCTCTCGATACTTTTTCTTGCGCGCGTAACCAATGTACTCCCCGCTCGCATAAAGGATGGCTAGGCATACAAACGTGACCCGGCCAACGTTGGCAGATCACATTCAACCCCCAATAGTTAGCTTTCACAAGCTTTACTCGAATCGTCTTCGTTGACCAGGTTGTGTACTTCACATGTACGCGAGCTGACTTCCTCTGCTTGTAATGTCGCGGATAATGTTCCTAGTTAAGTGAGACCCAGGCGCTGCGAGTCCATAACATGACAAAATTCTTAAAAATTCACCGAAGGGTTTAATCGGGTTGATTCTTATCATCTATCCAGATGGGGTCCGGTGGCCGAGCGGTCTACTTGCCTGGTTTGTAACCATAAAATCACCGGTTCGAATCCGCGTGTAGGTGGACGTCGTCGTGGTATACACAGCCCGCGCGCGACTTGTAGTGGTCGCGTGTCAGCGAAGCGTCGTTACGGCGTATAGTTGGTGATTTACTTATTATTTATCCGGTTGGAGTCCTCGAAACCAGTCGAATTAGATGTTGGGCAGTTCACTGATTATGGTATTCCTGCATTTGTTCCCACATTTCGGACCATTGACTATTCCATCCGAATATTTTGTTGCCTGGTCATATATTATGAACTAAGTTCTTTATTACTCTTTTTCCGCATGCTTTAAATCAACTTACCATAGCTGACAAACTGAATTGAATTGAATTTGCAGTTACCGAAGGGAGAACCTTCGCAATGCTTACTCGGTGTCATGATGAGGTATGAGCGATGCAACGCTTCCACCTGCGATTAAAGAGTATCAAGCTCTTAGTGCACCCAGCACGCAAGCTTCTTGTCTCTGAGCCATGCAGTGGCTCCGCTTTTTATGGATCGCCATGCATACTGCTCTTGCTCGATAAACTAATACATCACCGCTGATACTCCATAATGAGAAAAGTCCCACTGGTTTTCCCGATGTACACAATGACAGTGACTCCTCACTTTCATAGTGAAAGACGCTACTGCCTATTACGCAGATTACTCTATGTTTTACGATCACCGGGCAACCAATAGAAGTGACTAGTCCATTTGCCTGCATAAGTAGTTGTACCACATCCGGTGGTCAAGTCACGAAAGCGGTTACTGCACACACACACACACACACACACACACACACACACACACACACACACACACACACACACACACCAGTAATAGCCTGGTTGCTTTTTGGAATTTCAGTTATTTATGGGGACGGTGTTTCAATACAGCTGCCCTGTGCTATTTTGTATTTCGGCTGCATGAATCTTGCACCGAAGACATTTAGTGGACAGTCGCGTTTAACTACCAGTTGTTGCATAGATCGCCCATATTTTATGGGAGCATCTAATAAGTAATACTTTAACTCACTTGTTTACACTTGTCAACAAACCATTTGGCGTTGCACCCAACCGCTAACAAAACGTACGCGATCTGCATTGGTTGAGTGTCGTTTTCTATATGCTTTTGTGCAGTCCATCTAGTGTATATTGATTGCCACCTCTCTGTTTAATCAGGTAAAATAATATGTTGGCTACTCTAGAGTAAAGTGTTCGTTCAAACGGGCTTTTGCCTTCAGTTTAGATATGGGCTTCAGACTTGGCCACACCCGTGTTTTGGCGCCTTCTCCGATGTTTTTTAGTGGTGAAGTGAAATGAAATTCCTTTTCCTGACTTCTACGTTTTAGACTTATTTTCACTTTTAACTATGTCCTCGTGCTAGTTAGTTGCCCTATTTTTATCCTAGATACCAAGTAATGGTGTTTGGATTCTGCCACACTTCAGTTCCCGGATCGTTGAAATCTATAGAACTAATACATTTACTTAGTTAACTGAACTGATTAACACCGAGTAGTGGATATCCAGAGATGGGTAGTGCTGGTGGCACGTTTACTCAACTTAACGTACTTTGGAGGGACAAATTGCATACCAAAGTGCGGCCAACTCGCTCTTTCTTAACACACTGTACCAATGCTTCGCTGCCATGCGAGCATCGCCGGTCCTCCCTGGGCTGGGTCCAGCGCCTACTTGAATCCAAACCGGTGACCTCCGGATTGCAAGGCAAGCGCGCAATCCTATTAGCCACCGGATGACCAGAGATGCGTCTTACTTAATGAGGGCTACGTTGTATGTCTATTCTATGCTTGTCAATCGGTGGCTCCAGCAACTGCGCATCACACTGTGTTATCTATGCTCCCCTCTGTCACAAGGCGATAGAGAACTAGCGGCACGAAGTCCCTCTTATTCACCGCACGATGAACTCATGGAAGAGTAGATCGTGGGCCAAACAAGCTCATGCTTTCATAATGGAACGTCTAATGTAAAACGCTCAGCAGCGCCATAAATAGATAGTCAATGGAACTAAATGTTGTCCTCAAGTGACGCTTCATGACATTTCATATGTATGTGAATGACGTTAGGCTTGTCTTTTAGGTATAGACACATAATCATTGAACTACCATCTGGCGAAAGGCACTCTGGATTTTACGCTCTATAATGCCTTGAGTAGTCTGGGGTGAGCGTTGACAAGCTTTCTGTCTAAACGTGATTTTTACTATTAGCATGTCACCATCTTGCAAACTCGACCTTCAGTGTTAATTATAGCTACTCATCAGAGCGACATGTCGACCTGTACAAATCTTTTACTCGGCGTGACCCACCTCCACTCTTACGCTTAGTTCATTCCCAAACTATTGTAAGTGGCAAATTTACTATAAAAACCTTAGGTTGGATGTCAAGATCACACGCCATATGACCACCCCATATGCGCCATTTGCCGAGGCTACGGATAACAATTATTTATATACCCCCATGCGATTCACTCTGAGATGCTCCATTTTTTCTTTGCAACTCGCACCATGGGTATAGAGATTTGTTCCGGATAATTTTATCTGACACCTGCGCCTACATACTATTGTGCCAACCATGTTTTTCTAACCATGTCTACGTGCTTTAATTCCAGCTCCCATTGTAAGATACCATCGTTCCGATACTGTATAACATACCCAGGTGTCCTGTCACATACCGACTTGAGTCATTCACGAGTCGCAGGGGGTCATCCCCCGTGTTATTCCCTTCATCCCACATTCCCCCCAGACACTTTAATCTCATTCCCTTTGAACTTAATAACACGTTGTATCTGTCCACGTACCGTACAGCGAACCAATAGGATAAGGTTTTGGATCCATTACAAGAGCTGAGCCAAGCTACGCTCGCGGATTCTGTATCGTGATGATATTGTACAGTGGCACTTGAGGTGATTTGCGTTCTTTCTGTGCTCTGCAAACATCCGGTTGTTTTGGCACTGTACGGGTACTGTTGAGATATTGCCATATTGTACCATAATTTTTATTTGCATAGTACGGCAGTTAACGTCTCGGCTTCCTTTCTTGCTTGAACCCGGGAGTTTTTACGTGTCATTCGAACTCCAAGCCAATTTGTCCTTAACAACTGTACGTCATGCACTCTGTAGCTGCGTTACTAACAAGGTATGTTTAATTAAACTTTTCTTCGATTTACGGCGCTATAAATATTCCATGCATTCCGAGACGCAGCTTCGCGCTTTCTCTTCACTGTTTTACTGCCTCGCATTTTCTTTCATAACAGTACATTTACTGATAGACCATGTACTGCATCCCGCTCTGACCCTCATACGGAGGCGGTTTTCTCGAATCTATCCTACAGACAGTGGTTACTGGCCGCTTGGTCGTCATTCTTAGTGTGTAATCAACTAGGTGTATTTTCGTTGCATATAAAAACAGAAATTGTACGTGGCAGCTGTGTTGTTCAGTAGATCTTCGACACACTAATATGCGCATATCACTGTTATTTTGTTAAGTGATCTTTAACTCAAGTTCACCATTAACCTTTCCCAGGACGCACAACACTTTGGTTATTTGACCGCGGAACAGGCCATAGCGGATTATGCATGCCTCATCCAATCTCTTCGCGTTTCCGATGAAGCTTTCAAGAATTCCCCGGTTATTGCTTTCGGTGGCTCCTACGGGGGTATGCTGGCAGCCTGGTTTCGAAACAAGTATCCTAATTTGATTGCTGGGTAAATGCTTGTTTTGTCTGGCCTTTTTATTGTTACCTCACACTTGCGTTTCGCTCTTGATTAGGCTTACAAACATGCTACCAAGTTAGTAAGGCTGTCAAGATGACCAATCATGTAGATAATAATTACACAAACAAGTCAGTTGGCAACAGGCAACTATCTGAACCTGAACTATTTTATTAACTGTTCTTTACTCCACACATCCTCTTCTTGACGTTTCCTCGTCATATCTTATTCTTTGACCTTGTGTCACCCATACCGTTCCGACTATGCGCGACACATCAGTGCGATAACCAACATTCGATTTTCCCACATCGTTTCGTCTTACTAGTACGTGGTGATGCAAATTACGCACTTCTATGCGACTACCACTGACAGCACGCAGTCGTGGCTTACTCCATCCATTGATGGTCGACTGGTTGCCGCGCTATGTGGTTGTTTTTATCTCTTGTCTATTCCGTTCTGTACCGTCGTCCTATTGTTTTACACGCCAAACTCAAAATGCAATCGCACTGTTATGCACACGTGCTATGTGACCGTTTCCCCCTCCCTCAACTACCTTTGTGCACATTCCAGCGCAACTCGTTATCAGTTAATCCACCGTAAACCTATTCACGGTGATCTTTGGTCACTCAATTTAAGTCCTATTCATCGTCCTTAATGTTTAGTTTGCTCTCTTGATGTTCCAAGTTCCGTTTAGTTGCGGTCACGTTTCAAGCCACTTTTCTACGTGTTAGGTCCAAAGTTCCGAGTTGAACTTTGATGGACGCTGTTTAATCGCACGATGTTTTTTCGCACTTGCCTTTTTTCCGGTTACTTGAGAAAGACAAGCTTTTGAATAAAACTGTGCTCATTATCGGTGAACTTAAACTCCGTCCCCTTCAGATTCTCAAATTTCCTTCGACTTGTTTCTATTTCCCTCTTCTCATGTTCCACAGCTGATGTACTTATTACCTGTATGTCAGACGATAGGTTTAGATTACCGTCCCGTCGTAATTTGTTGGGACACTTTCATTGTCCTCACTAGGCACCCAGACTCACCAACTACTTCATGTCCTCTTTGCGAAGTTCGCACCGACTCCAACAGTTCTTCAGTCTGGGCAAAGACATCAGCAGTGCATCGGCTCACCCTATCAACGCCTTGCTTCTGCGCGACTACCGAGAGCGTTGGATCTACTGCAAGGTGGACCGCATCTACGCGGTCCCAGCTTATGCACACAATGGGTTAACAAACATGAGTTGCTTGCTCACAAGAAGTGCGTGCGCCTCAGTGATGTCCGTTGCGTTTGCAGTCTGAAGGTTTTATGCTCCTTGAGTGCTGCCACACAGCTTCATTTACTTATGTGCAATACGCTTGACTAGGTGCAGTGTTGACGCGCTCCGAAATTTACGCAGTTCCTGCTCTCCTGGCTCCTTGTTTCTCCTGATGTTACCACATTACTGTATGGTGATAGAATAGTGCAACATCCTTCTTCAAGTGCATGTGTCTTGTGCTTGTTCGCCGTCATAGCCGCAACCGACTTCGGATCCATATGCAAATGATCATCTCATGCCCGTTCGACGTGTTTCCCTGTGGTCTTCCTTCAACCCCTGTTTACCTGCACTACTTGTCAACTGCCACACCAATACTGTCATCATCATCATTATACACGTCAGCTAGAGGTGGGAAACACCTCAGCTACTGTGCCGCAATACATAAATGAAAAAGGAAAATAAATACAAAAGTTGCATGCCAGCTGAGCTACCAGCAACGGATAGGCATCGTTCTGATAAGCTACCAACCGGCTACTAGGCAAAAAGAAAATTTTCATTATGTTTTACGCTAAGAAATGAGATCGTAGGTGGAGGGGGGGTTAAAAGGGATGGGGAGGGACAAAGAAACTCACAGCACGAACGCCACTGAGGTCGGCTCCTTGCCATGTCAGCAAGTGTATCCAGCCAAACGTGTTCACCATCTTCTGGACCCCAACCATGGAGCCATGACGTTCCAACCGAGGCCAGCACAGAAGTGAGGACCTTCATTCCTCTTGACCAAGTCATCGCTTGGCCACCCCTCCTCTTCTTCCATCCACATCCCCGGTGAGCAAACAACGCACGTCGAGGGAGTCGATGGGCTGGCATGCGCAACACGTGGCCCAGCCATCGGGGCCTTTTGCGTGAAATGACGATGCTGAGCGGTTCATTTCCTTTTCCTGTACCGTAAACAAGGCGTCGAACACGCTCGTTACTCACGCGGTGTTCCCACCAGATGTGAGCTAAACTACGATGGCACCGATTGTCGAACGTAACTAGCCTCTTCATGTCCGCCGATCTTAGGGGCCAGGTTTCGCAACCGTACAGTAGGGTCGAACGTACCGCTGCATTATACACTCTACCCTTCAGAGCTACAGTGATTTCGCGCCGCCGCCATAGGTGGCGAAGGTTAGCAAAAGCATTTCGTGCCTTTGCTATACGGTTCGTGATCTCGTCTTCGATCCCAAGGGCGCTGATACAACTTCCCAATACTGTGCCGTCATCAAACCGAGAATGGCCTCATTACCTTGCCTTTTTCTCCCTTCATTTCTATGGCTTATTCCCATTCGTGCCAGTTTTATATAACCCAGATTATTCTTTCGAATAGAATTATGGAAGCATTGACGACTGTGTCCTAGAGTTCACACCATATCGGTTCCTAGTAGCAATTTTCTTTTACCGCCACATGTGGATGCTGGGTCGCATTTTCGACCGCGAGTTTACTTCCATTTGGCTCATCGACTATAGTCCATGCACTGGGGTGCGTTGGACCCAATTAGGCTGGTGTTGCCGTGCACATAATTCAGAGCAGATTGACAAGAGACACACTCTAGCAGGATGGTCAGCATTACGGACTTTGCGCTTACACCAAGTCAGTTCAAATATCTATGTTCTTTTTTCGTATCGTTGACAAACTGCCTTTGGCATTTCATTCAACTATACGTAGTTATGGTAAATAATCCCCATCAAAGTACTCAACATACGGAACACCTGAGAGCCTGTCACCAAACACCAGTCTATTAACTTCAATATTGTTTACTACTTTCTCCTACTCGATATCAGCAACATTTCATAGGCATCGATGACCAAACACAGCCATTCTTTTGACATCCTCGGCGTGCACTAGCTACAGCACAACACTTGAGGCCCTTTCGTAAATCAAAAAGCTCACATTTCACCGGACTAATATGTAACAGAAGCTTTGAAAAGCCACACTGGTTACATGTTGCGTACAGTAACGTCTTCTATGCTGTAAGTACCACGGGTGCTACAGCAGCTACCCAGATAGTTAAACCGATTAACCACCTGGGGAACTTGTTCGATAATGATGAGAGCTGGCGGTTGCTCGTCTCACTTTTGAATGTAGTTCTGTACTGTGGACATATCAGATGCGTGTTAATACTTGTAGCGCTACAGGTTAGCCTATCATGTACCATTTTCCATGCAGCTGAATCCAGCCCAGAGAGCTGTTTCGTCTGTATTTTCTCTGTTTAATAGACGGTCATCCAGTAGAACTACGACTCCATGAGAGGTGGAAGGAGACAGAGAGGACTCATGGTCAATTCGTTCGCGAATTTAAGATAAACTACAGACTTGTCGCGCTCCTATATCGTTTTGAGTTCGGGAGAGTGGTTGCCGTTTGGAAAGCTTAGAACAGAAAGCAATTTTCCTGATACGTTCTTCAAATATAAGCACTAGCGCAAACGATTATGGTCAACGTGATAAAAGGAAATCAAGTCAAGTCCACCACGATAAACTTTTTATGTAGGGCGGCTTTCAAGTACCTACGGGGAGTCAAATTGTACTAAATGCTCCTTCCGCCTGGGCGGAATCGAGTCTGGCTCATTGATTCGTCCATTACAAGTACGCCATCTCGCCAAGACGTCCTTGCATGTCACCACTTTGGATTCGTCCAAAAGTTTTATGTTACTTGTTACCATCTTCATCTCTCCTTTCGCATGTGTTAAATGCTACTTTTTACCAACGTTGAAGCACCCGTAGCTATGAGGCTGACGTCCGTCATCAGAGGTTATCGTCAGGCATTCTGTTGTTTTTCAAGTTGCAATGTAAATACTTCATCGCTTTTCATACAACAACGAGAATCAGTTCCTCCCTGTCTAAACATTCACGAAAACCGTTTGCTTTCTTGTGCAAACCGGTTTGTAACAAATTTCCATTACCTATTGGCCACTTACCAAATTGGTTTCCTTTTTCTTATTCGGCAAACGCTTATACGTCGTTGCATTATCATACACAGTGCATTCTCTTCGACTTTAAATCGTTTAAATCGCAGTGATTGCTCCCGAATCTTTTGTGTGGTACCCTTTTCACCTCATTTGTCACCGTTATCGTTTCTCGCTGCGTCTTCTTTTTTACGTATTCGCTCTGACAGTGGAACCCGTTACGAAGTCCCCTTTGGATACTCTCGTATTTCCCGCCATCCATTGTTCTTTGTGTTCTATTGGTATCTTAGTTCTGTTAATGTAAATGGGCTACCCCAGAGACTGGTGCCTGCCTAACTTATACGCATCGATGTCACTAAATCTGAGTTCGCTCTGTTACGTTACGACATCAGCTCGGGTATGTGCAGTCCGAGGACGTTCTGATTCTGTGCCCGTTGTCGTTTGCATCACATTGTTCACTGGGTGCGGCATGAAATCCGCTGCTTGTCTTTTTATTCACAGCAGACGACTTAAAAGCCATCGGCTTGTTTATGTTTATGGGTGATGTTTGAGGTATCTTTGGACAAATTTCCTCTCATTGCTTCTTGCAGCTAGTCACACTTTGGCTATGTCCACCTACCCACAGAGTTCTTAATCATTTTCGATCTATCCCGGGCTTTCTTAAAAGTCGTTGTTCCACATTCAACGACACACAAAATAACCATCCATCCGTTTTCACACTTGACGTGCACGTTGAACCTCTTAGCTTTACCTTTGTCACACGAATGATTTTCAGTTGACTCTTATTGCCCCTTTCAGGATCGT